AAGGTGCGGCCTTGAGGCACCAGGGAGTGCCTCTGTGCTCGGTGCAGGGAGTGTTGAGTCACGGCTGCCTATCACAGGGGTATGAGTCACCCAGCTGTTATGCAAAAGCAGATGATTCCAGAGGCTATGTTTAAAACACACTTAGTAGTTGCACCTGTGAATATAAGAGGCTTGGTTGTGTCTCTGTGTATATTGTTTGTGGAATTTACTTACTGTACTGTAGGGTTTGGGGTTTTTTTTGTATGTGATTTTAGGCAAAGAAATGAAAACTTCTGGATCTTGATCAAGCTTAGATTGGAGACAGGCACTGAGCTTTCTTGGACTGCAGTAGTTCTGGGCACACCCAGAAGGAGAACTTTAAAGTTTTCAAAGCATTTAAAGTGAAACAGAGAGGCACCTTCGGGGTTAGGTGGAGTAACTTGCAATTTTTGTTTTAATGAAAATGTTTGTTCCATGTAAGCAGCAGAACTTTTCATGAGATCTAATGCTAGATTTCTCTGTTACGCAGCTTTCAGACACAAGTGTAGGTTTTAATGTAGTAATTAATATTTGAAGAGATTAAAACGCTGGTGGTAGGTGTCAACAGCTGCAGTCCAAGCTGTTGGATGTATGCACAAATTATGTAGATGGATTAACCTGGTGCACTGTGAGGTCCTTTTTCAAAGTCTTGTGAATGTAGTGAATTTTGGATACAATCCAAAGGACTTGCATTGAACATTGCTTAATAGGTGAGAACAACTAAACTAATAGATACACTATACTTTACCAATGTGCAAGGGAACAGGTTTAAAGGCAGTCTTAAAGGGTATAATATTTTTTCTTTACATATTTCTAATTATTTTTTTTTTCCTAAATAATGCAGAAAGAGAGCTTTGCACATCAGTGGAAACATGACTTTGGAACAATGCTTAATTTTCTTAGCTACTTCAAGTTGCCGTTGTCAGTAGCTGGCAAGATACATAATCTAACCAGAAAGATAAATATTGAAGGAAATTTAAGTTGGCTTGCTATATATTTAAATCAACAAGATGAAATAGGCTAAAAGCTCAGAGCAATTCTGAACTTAGTTGAGTTAGTGTATATTTCTACATAATGTATCTCACATCTTTGTTGTGAGCTAAACCAGAGGCTCTTGGATTGTTTCAGTAGGTACTAAGAAATTTCTGTTACAGTTAGTACATAGATGATATGGATATATGAGAGTTGACAGGACTTATAAGAAGTATAAGTTGATGCTAAAATGACATTGGAATTCATGAAAGTGAAATTACCGTCCACTCACAATACACAAAGGATATAGTCACATGAAAAATTGCATGTGAGTGGTCCCATGATACTTAAGAGGTTGGGATAACTAATTCATTGGCTTTCTGCAAATTTTCAAACCTCTTTGTAGGAAGATGTTTCTCTAAGTTAATTAGCTGAGTGAGAAATCTCACTGTTGACTTCCCAGTAAACTTTCTTCCTTTTTTCTTAACTTTCTGTACAGTCTCTGTGGTGTCTGTCTTGATAATTCTGTGTATTTCATCATTTAACTCTGAGAAATTTTATTGTGCCCATTTCAGCAAATTTCTGGGATTGCCTATGAGCCTACTAAATTATTTTTTTCTGAGCTACTGCCATTATCCATCTCTGCCTCTTTTTTAAATCTCCATTACAAATTAGTATTTTTATTTTCTAATTTCACTCAATTTCTGAGCCCTGCTGACAAAGGGCTGCAGTGTCTGAGTACAAGTGGGCTGCTAGGCTGAGATGATTAAAGACTCTGCAGGTAATGTTGAGAGTAAGTGTCAGAGTAGATTTCAGTAAATATCAAGACAAAGGATGGTTATAATTAGCTCATAACTTGGTAGTATAACTGCTGAGACTGGCAGCAGCAGTTTGAACGTGTTAGGATCACTCACCTACAGTGTGAAAGGGGAGGAGACTTCAATCAGGGTCTTTTTTTCCCATCCAATTTTCTGTGACCCAATGCATGTTTTATTATATGCTGTGAAACACCTCTCCCTTTGATTGTCATGCCATGGTTGTTCTGGAGAGGAGGTTTGAATTCTGTTCTGTGCTGTGTGATGGGTTGGTTTGTTTGATTTTTGGGGGTATATGTGTGTGTTGGGTTTTTTTTTTGCCCTACCCAGTTTCACAGATTTTGTTTTGATCCCACTTGGAGGTGAAACGGGGAAGATTGCTGAAATGTCACATATTTTAATGCAGTGGAGAAAGTCTTGCGAACTTTGCTGAAGTACCGCCGTGTAGGTTGTTCCAGCTGAGATATTAATACCTTTTCTGCTCTAAATAGGTTTGCTAGATAGGTCTGTAGTGCTTTTAAACCCCTTGTGGGAGGGTAATTTGACTTTTACTTTTGCAAGACTTATTGCAGTGAATAGCACATAGTATACCTCATAAGGCTTTTGAAAGTTTCCATGCAAAAATTCATGTTATTTAATCCTAATGTTAACTGTCTAGCCATTTCAGGTATTCTTTTTGCCCTGGATCTTCTGGAGGGAAAATGATTATCACGTTTGCACATTTTCATATCAAAACCACGACTGCCAAAATGCCATTTCTTTCAATAGGCTGTAAGCACCTAAGCACTTAAAGAATTTTGAAAACAAGCTTGTAAGTCATTTAGGTACTTTGTAGTTTTTACACTATATGCTACAAATAATATTTCAAAAGAAATGCATCTACGAGTTGCAGTAAGAAGTGTTTTGAAAAAGGCATTGACATACTGTTGAAAGTTGAGTTTATAATGCAACCTGCCATTGACAATGAAGATACAGATGAACTGAAAAAATTGAAAACATATGCATGGACTTTTAGCACTCTTTTTAAGAACAATCTCCAGAAAGAGCAGAGGTCTCTCCCCTGCTCCTTTGCAAAACTAGATCTAGAATAGTATCTTTTCTGCTTTTCAAATGAGGTGCAGTTTACAAAGTGGATTAGGGGAGTGCACTTTTTCTGTGAGTTTGTGTCCTGCAACAATGTTCTTCTGAGATTGTGTCCCTCCATACAAGCATGTTGGATAAAAAGATTATTGTGGAGTGAAAAAAAAAAAAAACAACCAAAAGAGAGTAGTACATTTGGGAAAAAACAGGATGATAAGAATTTGAAACCATATTGGTTACAGTCCATGTTACATGCATATCCTCCATTTTCAGTAAGTGATAGAAAAGACTATTGCCTCAGTGTGTCAGGTTGCAGGAACTGAGATGTTGCCTTCCTTCACAATTCAAAATGGCTGTTAGTAAATAGTATCCTATGGGATCTGTCTGAATGCTTTGAGCTAGTACTGTGTATGTGAACTTGCCTAACATTTAAAGGAATGTAGCTTCTTCTGAAACTATGTGCTGAAAGCTCAAATGCTGTGAAGGTGTTGCAGGAGATCTAGACTAAAACTCTGTTTTCAGAAGTGCTGCCCATCTTTTAAAAAACAATTGTACAACATTAAGCAGTGAAATTGGTGAATAAGTTTGAGAATGCCTCTAAGATCTACTGACACCTGTGGAACTGCAGACAGAATGGATGAAGTTTAGCTGAGCCCTAAAGCTTTCTTCCTCATGACTAACTCAAACTGTGACATGCAGAACTTTTGTCTCGATACTTTCCCAAGTACTCAACTTCTAATGCCTTCCATTTAAAAAACTAGATGATCGAACAATTATAAAAAGAAGAGACATTTTCTTTTAAATTTGTTGTTTGTTCTTTGATTTTTATTTGCAGGGGAGGATATTCAGTTTGTCCAGTTACCTGAAAACAATCCACATTTCCTAGCAGCACGATCCGTACTTTATCTAACTGCACATTTCTTAAGTCCTTGTAAGTCTTGTCCCTTTCTAGGCAGATTTTAATTATCTGGCTGCCTGACAGAAATTGAGAGCTCTTTATCTATGAACAGCAATGTTCTCTTGTTTCTGTTCACTCCACTGCATTTCAACATGTAACCACTTGTAAATGGCAAGATGCAGACAGAGGCGGGCAAAGTTCTGAAATGTATGGATTTAGGTTCAGTCTTAATAGTGTTTTATTTCCTCTTATCTATCCCCTTCTCCCCCCCTGCCCACCTTGGTTTATATTATATTTCCCTACTGCAAGGATGTCTGTCCTGCCTGAAAATTCCGATGCAGCATTTTAGGTGTCCAAAATAAGAACTCCCCTGATGTCTGAACATTTGAGGGTATTTCCAAACAAATGAGAGTGTACCTAGGCAACAACCCTCTCAAGGGCTGCTAGGGCTTCTATGCATTTGCAGTAGTTATGATGCAATGATATTACTTAAAAACAATGATCAGCTGAACTTGTATTTAGAATGCTGTTTAACCCTAGATTTCCTCCATGACTGTGGGCAAGGCATTTCACTTTATTGCGGCTGGATTTGCCATGTGTAATAGAGAGGGAACAACACTGCTCTTCTCTTTTTTTTTTTTTTTTTTTTTTTTTCTTTTCTACGGACTGTATGAGCATTCACAACAGAATCACCTTTGCATTGCTCACAAAATGGGGAGTGTATTAATACTATTACTATAGAATAGAAACTTGTAACCCGGTTTCAGTTCTATGAATTCTATTAACACAAGACTTTAAATAAAGCTGTTTGCTTTGTTGTCATAAAAGTGACATACCAGGAATGTGAGATAAAAAGGCAAGTTTAACATCAGATTTGCATCCTTGGGAATCAAATAAAGATTTTTCCATCCCATAGCCTTTCAGCAAAGCACTTTGGCACTGTTAAAGTCTGGTTGCAAAAAAATCGGGTGTGCCCAGTCTATTCATGTAACATACACTGGATTTCCAGTTTGAGTTGCTGTAAAGTTGCAAGAATTGAAGTAGAGATGACTAATGTAGGTCTGTATCCAATTTCATAGACATCCTGGAAAATACTGAATAAGCAGTGTTAAATGGTTTTCTCTTTTCTTTCTGTAGGATTTGTGTGTTGATCGTCATTGTGCTGTACCACAGTGAAGTGGTATTTTTCACTTCAAGACACCTTGCATTAAAGGATCATGGTAGACAGTTTAATAGTTTCTTTGAGGTAAGTGATGCAGTAAAACATTTAAAATCTTATTTAATACGCTCTTAATACACTGCAGTAAACATCAATTTGGTTATCTCTTGCTTTGGTGTTAATTTGGTTATCTCTTGCTTTGGTGTTAAAAGTGTTTGTATCATAAGAGGATAAATAAAAATCTTGTCCAAAGACCGAATAATCGTACATGCATACCAGACATAGCATTCTTTGGTGATAGGAAAAAAGAAAGTCCTCAGTTTTTGTTTATGCTTAGACCATGTGTTAGTCTGTGCCAATCTGATGGCATATATTATTGGAAAGTTCCTTTTTTTTTTTGATGAGACTACAGTCACTGAGCTTAAATTACTGGTTTGCGTGTTTTAGTACCTGTGCTGCAGTTCATTCAGGGAATTTATTATGCATTCTTGGAACAGTTTGCCAGTGGGCAAACATAGGAAAGACCTTTCAAACAGCTTTCCTCACAAAGGAAACATTCAACTGTTTCTAAGTCCAGTTCTGTAGCTGGGTGAGCAGATTCAGAGAAAACAGGCAGCTGTGATGCTACACGAACAAAAGCTGACCTGCGAGGAATGACAACTGCATGCTCTTTCATTTTGTATGGAGATACTGTCACTAACACCTCTGGTCTAACCTTCCTTCTTGTGAATAGTCTGAGCGTGACAGAGCACTGGAACAGGCTGCCCAGGGAGGTTGTGGAGTCTCCTTCCTCTGGAGATATTCAAAGCCCACCTGGATGAAGTCCTGTGTAACATGCTCTAGGAGAACCTGCTTTAGCAGGGGGGTTGGACTGGATGATCTCCTGAGGTCCCTTCCAACCCTTGTGATTCTGTGAATTTCAGACATCTATCAAAATGGATCTGTTACATATTATTGACACTACCTGTGTTATCTTTCCTGTTGAGACTTCTCCCTGCATAGCTCCTCCCAGGCTGTCCCAGACTTAGGCTGTTCTGCAGACTTTCATTTGTTAGGAAGTCAGGAGTATGAGACAAGAGCTATACTGCACTAGTCAGTACTAATCACTTGGCTAGAAGACTTTCACTCCTCCCTGGACAATCCACAGTTGGCCATGATAGCCTTCATAAAATAGAACTACTAAGGGAAATCTATTTTGGTGCCCTCCACCTTCATTCATGCAAAGCTAATACTTGCTGCAACAACAGACGAAGAACTCTGAGAGGCGATCCTAAATGAGGTGTTAAATAGTAAACTTTTTCTAAAAGAAAGTGAGCACATTTTCTCTTTGCAACTTGGATAGACTGACAGTTTGCCTGACTTTGCTTTAAACTAGGTACTTGGCTCCAAATAGCGTCATAACTGTGAGAGCCAGGGCTGTACCAGCAAGGCTCTTACACAGAGGCCTGAGTTAAACAGGCATCAATCAGCTGCAGTTGGTACCTGACCTGTTCATGTGTACTTGAAAAGTTTGCCTTATTTTGAAGAGCACTTGCTCATTTTGGCTTTTCTGCACGGTAAGGATACCTGAAACAAACCCACTGAAATTGGAGAAGCCTATTTTTGCAGCTTGGGAAGCCTAACGTTAGTCAAGCATGGCAAATTAAAAAGCCTAGTCCAGAGAGGTTAGCCAGAGCAAGCTATTGAGGTAAATAACATCAAAAAAAATTAAATTGCCGCACACTGGTTTGAAGCTAGAGGCTGACCTCAGGATAGCTTAAGTATTCCCAGCAGATTTCCAGTGTGTTTTAAATAGTAGGTTGATACCATTGTTTCTGAGAGATCCGACTGCAGATACAGAAGCGAACTTAAAAACTAGCTTAATTGTTATCAAGCACATACATACAGATGGTGATTACAGTGCAACCTCATTAAAGAATGGTCAGGAAAAGCTTGGCACCGAGTAATCACACATATAGTAAAACTTTGCATTTTAGAACTGAAAACTTTAATCTGGTAAGTAATGTGCTTTGAAGATTACAGTTCTTGCTCAGTTCAGAACTCCCAGCCTTGTGAATGATTTCAGAAGAATTTATTCATGGAAATCTGTTGTCCTTCAGACTGATCGGAAAAATCTCGTCCTCTTGAGGATGAAAGCATTCATTTCCTTATGCAAAGTTTGAACAAATTTTCACATGTTCTGAGGGATTATAGGGAGCAGAAGCCATAAGAGGGCAGGGAGTGGATAGGAAGATTCTGAAAAGGGAGTTAAATGTAATTTGCAGAGGATGTAGATGTTAGAGACTGCGCTCTGCCTACTTAGAAGCTTGTCATGTTTTCATTGAGAATAGTTAGAAGATCACTTGAGCACTTTAAAAAGGGATATGCAGGTCAGCTAACGACAGACTTGATGCTGTCATTTTGCAGTTTGGAGGTGTGAGTTCTGTTTCTGTTTCTGCCTTTGATTTCAGGTGTGATTGGCAAATCAGTTTCTTTGTTCATGCCTTTGGCTTCCATCCACCACTGTGTTACTGGGCCTTGCTCTGAACTGCACATTTTGACTCTTACTATGGGTTTTTTTGTAGTGCCTTGTACGGGCTCTGATTTCAGCCACGTCCTCTGTATTTTGCTTTATCACAAATGATAACTTTGTGAAATATAATACTCCTTCTCTCAGACTTCTAAAGTGTTTTAATTGTTTTTTTTTTTTTTTCTAAATTGCTGTGGCAGTAAGGAAGTAATGACTTTTCTTGCCTTTGAATGGTTTATTGCTTTGAGAGAGGGGCGTAGACTATGGTGATGAGGTGGTGATAGGCATACTTACCTAACCGTTCCTTTTTCAATATGTTAGCAAGAACAAACACAGAAAACTCAAGAAAAACATTCTCCTTGTAGAAGAATATTTGTATTGGTTGTAATGAAATGCTTAGTGTAAAAAACCCCTCTTTCTGTTTAGGAGGTCTGTCTCTGAAAATACGCGAAACTGAGAAATATTTAAAGGGTTACTGTGTAGGGAGCAAAGGAGGGAGCTGTGAGTAGGAAGCACAGCTGGATTTTGTCTGGTCCATTAGTTTGCAGATGGATTTTGTGTCCAAATCCATCAGTTTTACTTCTGCATTGAAATGCAGCAAATCATTAGCAGCTTTCCCCTTTATAGAGGGTCCGAAGCATACTCTATAGACTGAAAAGTCAAACTCCTGGTAGAAATAAAGATATCTTGATCCTACTTCTCATATCTTTCTGTGTTTTCTGATGAAGGGGCTTGCTGGAAGGGGGCAAACCAGTCGCCAGTGCAAATTATAGCAAACAAAGGACTGAGCTAACTGAGCCTAACTTGTAATGGGCTCCTAGGAGTCATTACAGTGGTGAGGCTTGACAGAACAAAGTTTGTTTGGGCTTGGTTCCCATTATGACTCCTTTCAGATTGAAGATGTGGGGACTGGGGTGATGCTTGGCTGCTTATCCTGAGTCTCTGGTGAGCTGTGTCCGCTACTTTCCATCTTCTGTGCCCATTAGGTTATTCAACTTCCACAAGTGTTAGGCAGCTGGGGAAGAACCTATTTTCTGCAAAATCATGGTGATTCTTTGCATGTTTCGTGTACTGGAGGTGGAGTGTTCATCTGTAAAATGAGGAGCCAGAGCTAGAAGCAGACTTAGTCCACAGATGGGTGAATTCTTACTTAGCACTTCAGAAAACTCACAAAGCATATGTCAGTTTGACATCAAATGCTGAGGTGTTAAAATATGCACTGCAAAAAATATTTTAATTTAAACATAAAGTTATGTGAAATACTATAAATGGATTCTACTTGGTGCACTTCTGTTCTATAGACGAATTTATGTATGTACCTGGTACTGTCTGCTGTGAAGAGAATGTCATAAGAACATTTCATGCGTTTTAGTGAGTCTGCTTTGGTTAGTAATGGTATTCAAGTGTCTAAATAAGTTCTTGCAGTATGAAGCCCTGTAATAGTTTGTAGATGGGTCGTTTGTCTTAGTGGTAATTTTATCTTTTGTTCCACTATTTGCTTTTTCAGACTTCTCAGTTCCCTAGCAGTGCTGGGATTTCAGTTTGCCATCCCACAGCCTTCAATTGAACACAGAAAGGTAAGCATTAGAAAAATTCAGATTTTGTATACTTAAAGGTAAATGTAGAAAACATTAGAGTAAGATGCATAAAGCAATGCAATCTAAATAAAGTTGTGGGAATAATGTGGCTTTTGTTTTTTGGGGGTTTGGGTTTTTTTAATATAAATACATACTTGGTTAAAAGAGGCTCATTGTGGCTAATCGGACGAGTAATTGTATGGAGTGTTATAGGTCACAAATAGGTCCATGCCAGCTTACTCAAGCTTTGGAGCATTTTCATCATGTAAGACAAAGGGAAAGAAGAATTCATGTCAGTGGGAGCAGCGCTCAAACATGGATTAGCGGAAGCATCCAGTTGCTCATAGGTAGCTCTTTCTCTTACAGAAATGGAGATGTCTGAAACAGAAGTTGGACGCAAGGCACACTCTGTTGCTAGATTTAAATTGCTAGAGATCAGAGCTGGAAACTGCTGAGCTTTCCTGTTGTGCTCTTGTGAATGATTCACTCATCAGAGACATTGGCATGTCTAAGAAGGCTTGCAGCCTGCACACCTTCCATCCTGCTCTGCATTAGTGAGATTTCATCGAGAATACTTAGGTTAGGTTTTTGCACTGCTTTTCAGGAAAGTAGTGGACAATTTGGAGAGAAACAGAGAGCAGCAGCGATTATCCTCAAGAGGTTTCAAAATCTTACCTCTGAGGGAAGTTTGAATGAATTCATGTTGTTTAGTCTAAAGATTGGAAGTCTGGTGGGGGAGGCAGATACTATCTCCAAGTACATATGAGTCACTAATGAGAAGGGTATTCTTTCTGTCTGTGGTGGAGTAGATGAGAAGAAACAGATTTAAAATGGGGCAAGGGAAACTTAGGTTTGATGTTAGAAAAAAACTTCCCATGATGAGGATATAAAGAAGAACAGATCATATTGGCTGGATAATGTTTAGAATTTGCATGATGAAGGTCTCTGTGAATGTGTTGGACAAATGTTTGTCAGGAATGATGTGTAGGTATTGCTGATTCTACCTGAGACCTGAGGGGAGACCCCTTGAATGCTCCTCTTATCTCTTTATGGGCTGTGACCTTATATTGACATTGTTCTCATCTCTTAATTGGTATTCAAACACAATCATTTAATTATTAAAGATATCAAATAACCTATTTTTAAAAGTTTGCTTTTTACTATAGATTTCTAAATAATAATTCAAGATGCATATTTATTCTTATACCGTGCTTTTTAAAGGAGATACAAGGCAAGTTTGTGGGGTTTCCTTTTTTTTGTGTGCGTATGCCACTATTTTGAGGGTAAAGAATTATTTGGACAATAGCTCTATAGGTATGGACTAGAAACCTGAAGCTATCTGATAATCATAGTTCCTGAAGAACACAGCTGTCATGTTCAACTCCTTGTGTCTAATAGTAAGACAAGTTAAATGAGGTCAGTAATGATGTGGTCTGAAACTGGCAGTCTGCAGCGTTTCTCAAGCTGCCCAAGTGCTCTATTCCAAACCTGAGTACACCATAGTATTTTTCCCTACTTTAGGTCTCTTTTATTTTGTTGTGCAGTTGAGATGGTCATGCTGCTGCTCTGTTTTCAGTACTCTGTCTAATTAGACATTCTTTTGTAACATTGACAGTGGAGAGATGCTGCAGTCCAGCTTCCAAGTGGCTTTAGGGGGAAAAAAAAGTCTAGTAACTGAAATAGAGTAAGTCAGAGAAACAATTGCTTCATTCTGTGAAGCTCCGGAATTAATTTTGATAAAATCAGATTCTTTTTTTTCAGTTGAATGAGAAATGCCACAGGTCTGGAGTGTCTTCTGCACTAGTTAAAGGGACTGGAGGCATGGCACTAAGGGGCATGGTAACCACCTTGGAGCTATTCTTTTTACTGAAAACAAGAGAGGCAGAAGTTTCCTAGTGATGATCTCATACAGGCTCCAAGGCTGTCTGTCATTCTCAGCTCCTACACTATGGGAGAGGATTCTGTTCATGCCAAACTGTGTTTAGACTGGAAGTCTGTATTTATTAAACTTTTCAGAAACCTTCTGACCCACCTATCAGCTGCAGGCACAGGGGACTGTTAGCAGCTCTGAAGGCCAAGTCAGACATGTTTCTAACTGGGTGCGAGTTCTCAGCTTTGTAGCTCTGGAGGTAGTTCTGTTCTTTTTATGCAGTAACCTGGACATGTGTTTGCTGGCATCCCTAGCCAGCATCTCCTGGGTATTTCTGCACAGATCTCTCTGCTGTCTGGCAGAGTTCCTTCTATGTAAGAGGAGGTCAGTTTTTCAGGAAGAAAGGGAGAGGAGGAGGAGGGAAGGATTTGATGAACAATTTGTCATGTTAACAATGTAGTGAATAATAAAACTGGTGTTTGGTAACTTTTATGTACCTACCCAGAGCATACAGTATGTGGAAAGTGAGTAACTAGAGATGAATTCTAATAAAACATTAGCTTATAGCCCAGTCCTCACTGTGTATTTATTTTGCAGCTTAAAGCTAAGCATGTGTGCACAACTGATGCTTGAACGTGCAGTATTGGAGAGTGTTTGGATTCTGTCTTGTTCACCCCTGCATAAAGTTATTTTTGCTCTGGAAGCTATGGACAGGGAAATAAAATCAGAGAATTGAACTTCGGTTTTTGGCAGAGTAATTCATTAAAATATTTCCAAATAGCCTAGATTTTTTTCTTGCACTAACACTTTTGGGAAAATGAAATAAACCCCAGGACAATTCCCAAAGCAGTTGATGGAAATCCAGTTGTAACTGCCTCTGGACACCCACAGTTCAGCTGAGATGTTGTTTTAGGACTTGAGAACACTTGAAAACATCAGGAAATACTATTTTCTGTTTGTTTTAAAATCTTGCTAGATTTTCATCTTTTGTTTCTTTTTTTTTTTAATCCATGTTTAAAGTCATACTAGTTTCAGAGAGGCTGACCTAATGTAGATTTTTGAACAAAAATCCATTTGTAGTTTCCTAACTTACTTGTAAGAGTTTGTATTTAGCTTCAGTACATTAGAGCTACTTAAAGCACTGTTTAGCTACTCTTGACTTAGTGGTATATGTTTAGGACTTTAACATGAAGAAAGAAGTTTATCTTATCAAGCAGCAATTTGTAAAAAAAAAAAAAAATAATTAAGGGAAATTTCATCAACAAAATCTGGAATTGCAGAGCTCAGCAGGTTACTTTCCTCAGACACACACACACAAAATCCATTTCTGGCGTGACAGCCTAGGGACTGTTAGCTAGAAGAATGAGCCAAATTACTTCCTGAGCAGTGAAGTGCAGATAGTGGAATTAAGATTTGGGAGGATGACAGGACCAAATGGTAAGGTTTTATTTTTTTCTCATTTGCAGTTTATTTTGTAACTCTTCTGCTTTCAGGACTGCTGCCCTCCCCCCCTACCCCACCCATCCCAGATTAAATGCAAAACTATTCCATTTCAGTTCCCCTTCTTTTCTTACTCTGGGGAAATTTAAGCTTGGCTGTTAAAGTAAAAATGTTTTGAACACTAGCTAGTAAGAAGATACTTTTCGGGGGGAAAGCATTTGACTGGGCAATGTTTTCTACTTTTAGATTTTATAATTTTTGAATTAAAGTCTTGGAAACTTGTCTGTCATACAAAGTCAGAATTGACCAATACAGAATTTCTGGTTTCAGAAATGCCTGGCTACCTGATCTCTATATAGGAGTAGCTTTTGTGCTTATTTACTTTGAACAATGCTGTCTCTCCCATCAGAAGTGCACAAAAACTGAAAACAAAGAGCATCTTTACATCTTCCTACATCTGAGCTTATGGTACTGCTCTGTTTGTTAATTTTATCTCTCCAAATAGCACAGGTTTGCACAGTAATACAAATACATTAAACATAGTATGTTCATTAGATAGAAATAAAAATTCCTATGCAAAAGACTTCTATGGTTTGCTGAAGACAGGGATTGTAGTGTTGGTCAGTAGCTTGCTTCTTGGTTTTTTTTCATGATCTAACTTACTTATTCCTCATTCATAGTATATAATTCTAACTATCAAGTATACTACTTTATAATGCTGAAATACTCATCAATATTAGCAAAAAAGGAGGAAATGTTACATGAAACCGAGTAATTGCCTCTTGCCTAGAAAAATCAGCCAAGCTGTCTGAAACTGGTTAAACTGAAATCTTCCTTAATATTTGAGCAATTAACTTTCCTTGTCCATCAGTACTGGACATATGAACAGCCCTCCTGCTGCTCATCATGCAGGCAAGCTCTCTGTTCTCCCTCCCTCTGCTTATTTTATTGAATACATATTATTTAACCGTAATCTGATAAATGTCATACTGTGATGAGCAGAAGATTAAACTATGAAACATAACAGTCCTTCTCCCAGGCAACCACTGAAGTCTGTATTCCCAATTTTTCAGAAGCCATTCCTGGGTGGATTTTTAACTAATCATATGTTGCTGTGTTAAGAAAGTAAGCTGTAGTTGTATTTATGCCTTGTTTACTTTAGTAAAATTTGTAACATAAATAGTGGTAAAGTTTGTCCAAATAAAATTTCTGACATGAATATTGCTTGGTTTTAACATCTTGCTTCTGTTACAGCATTAAATAATAGCATTGAAGTGATGGAGTTGCTTTGAATTTATGCCTTTTGTCACTCACTTGCAGATTAGTATTGACTTCAATGGAGGTACAGTACCTTAACAAACTAGTTTTCAACATATGGAAGAAGTGTCAGGATTTATTTTTACAAGCATTTAATTGGGGCTCTACAGTAACATTGAAGAATTTTGAGCCTGTTTAGGCTTAGTGTTGTTTCTTTATGCTGGCTCTAAATTGAAGAAATAAACTGGGTGTTATCTCTTGCTATCAGACACACAATGTCTCTATAAAAAGCAACTGTGTATCAAGTGAACGTGAATATAGTCCCCACAGAATTGGAGATGAATATGCTGTAACATGTGTGGTGTTGGGCTTCCTGTGATTTTTTCCTCCCCTCTCTCATGTATTGGACTCAAACATGCTTGTTGAAGGGTCA